TATTGTTGATTATTCGTTAGCTGGTCGAGCATTGCTGAGGAGATTCAAGGTAAACCTGCAGCCTTGTTCGCATGCCTTGGAGTCACCTTCTAATATTGTAATTATACTGTTTAATTCTATTTCGAACAGTTGTATTTAGGGATTATCTAGCAAATTCAGTAGAGCTTATAACTTGTACTAACTGTCGCGCCCTATTTTCTCGTGAAAGCTGGCTCCGACGTGTGACAACTCTTTTAAAATGAGGTATTAATAGAGAAGATTCGCCACCTAATGATTTTTAAGGTGCGTTAGGGCACCTAGTTGTAAATAACTCTGTTTAACTGTCAACGCCACCAAAGATCGGGTAAAGGCTTAAATTACCTCAAAGAGAAGGTGTTAGGCACTCTTCGAGGTCCACAACTGTGGGTCCCGACATAATTTTAGACCATGTGGATTATACAATTAGGCTAGGCGATCAAATAAATAGAAGGGAAGTTCAAAGGTTGTAGAAACATATGAGAATCGGTACAAGTCTTAATAGCTACGCTGAATAAGTATGTAAAGAGAGGGGGGTCCTAAGTTTTTTATCCTAAAGGATCACCCCGTGCAAAATAAATAATACTTCGTAAATCCCTTAAGGTGGGAGGGTTGCTCATTTTATTCAGCGGGCACAGACTATCATCTCCTGCTACCCGATTACTATGTTGAAGTTGTTTACTTAAAAACATTCTAATTCAATTCTAAGTCGTACCCTATGCGTGCACTACACGTTCCATGCCTATGGTCCAGGAGGCTTTGGACCTACTATAAGGTGGTTCTATACTTTACTACTTAGGTTGCTCAAAATGATAAAATTAGGCGACATGCAAAATAGATATGAGTGCATATAATTGCAATAAAAGGCTCAAGTAACCTCCACACATAAGCAGGAAAGCACGCGGACAGATCTCTAGTTAGGCAGTTGACGACATTAAGACGTGTTGGAATCGTTAGGTCCTATAGGCATAATTTCTATATGATTCTGGATTCCTGTATTATATATGCAGTGTTGTAATTTATGGACTAACGTATAGGCAAATTAGAGCATTGCAAGTCCTATAAACATGATATCTAATCGTTTGCATAATAAGATTGTGAAAACAATCCCATAATTCTTAATTACTAATACTAATTTTATAGATATGCGTCTTAGGCAGGTAATAGTACACTATAGGCATGATCTCTAATAGTCGCATAATTAGGCAGATAAGTCATTTGAAAACACAAGATTAGTAGCGTCAATAAACATCCTATGGGCATGATTTCTAACAATTGACAATTGGACTTGATTTTTTAACACTTTATCCCTATAGGCATGCTATCTAAATGAAGTAGTACAAAAGTAGCATGAAGAAATTGATTAATCAGTTAAGACCCTATTGTCATGGTATCTAGATAAGTAAAGGTATTTCATTGTTGTATCCAATAGGTATTTTATCTAATAGTGCATAGAAGTAAACATGCGAACAAGTGAAACACTTAGGTTCTTACAAACATGTTTCTGGTAGTGTGTGAGCATTAGACAGGTTGAATAGGTGAAGTGTTTGAGTTTCTATAAGCATGATATCTAAGTGAAGTCGAGTTTGGATCCTATAGGCATGCTCTCTAGCCATTCAAGTCATAACATTGTGTGCATATAATTCTAGAGAATGAGACGTGATGAGTAAACAAGCTATTAAAATCCTATATGCATGATCTCTACCCATTGATGTAAAAGATAAATTATCCCAGTTACCCCTTTTCACTAATCCCCAATTGTTCGTTACTACAAGTTATTACAAGCCCAAGAATGAAATAATACAGACTTGAAGATGAAAAACACATGCTGAAATAAATACAAGCCCACCAAAGTAATTACAGGCCCAATATAAAAGTAACCAAGGAATATCCTAGGCCTTCAATAGTCTTACTCTCCGGACAAACAGTAGGCCCAAACCACAGGCTCACAAGATAACTAGAGTGTACCTGAATCTAGTGCCCAGGTCCAACAACACCCATGGCCTATCTCCAGGCCCAATGAATAACTTACTTACCACATGGACACTAAATTTAGCTATGCAGGTGACATAATACTCATAGAACAACTTAATCCCTTAGTTCTTAGAGCTCTAGCCATTAACAGCTCTAGCCAAGACATATAAACAGGATCATGCTAAATGGAAAGGCACACAAGACATATATGAGGCAAGCTTATGCTTTGTAATTTCAGAAATAAAGTTTGATAGTGACAAGATTGACCATCATAAGAAAGTAAACTATTTTAGTAAAGCATGATCCAGAAACAACCTAAGGACCTTTAGATGATAGTCTAACAGAATCATAAACAAGAAGCAGGCAGAGTACAATCTTGATATGAAGGTTTTAACATGAAAACCTAATGAGAATATGGTTGCAAACAACATAACAACATGCTAGTGGGCACAATTTGGCAAAACATACTTGGTTAATCATGAAACCTAACCCGATGGACACTAACTATAGCACAAAGATTCTAAAGAACTTATAGTAGGCAAAAGAACATGTCAACTATAGGCTAACAGGACAGGCAGACATTAGGATTCATGTCAGTCGATCACACATGAGAGAGAACTACACATTGGTATTTATCCTAGAAGAAATGCTAAAGAGTGCAGGATTGCCTACTTAGGGAACACTATTATCAGAGTTACAAATCGCAGACAAACATGCTTGGCTAGAGATTAAGATAATTCTATAACATGGGAGAGTCAAGGATTAGTTTGCATGAAATAATAGGTTATACATAAAGGATCTAATAGGAAGAGATTCATTAAAGCAAACTTTGAGCAAGCAGTTTTTACAAAAGGTCCCAGAAATCCAAGGCATGAATATGAACTCATAACAGGCAAAGGACACGACACTGAGGCTAACATGAGCATGACCAATCAGACAAAACCTAAGAAGGCTAGAAACCATTTGAGTCAAATACATAGAGTGAAAGTATACTACACATGTTGAAGCCTTTCAAGTTTGATATTAGAGAACATGGATTTGCAGAACGTCATTGAGACAATAGAACTATAGAAAGCATACAATAATACAACACTGGGAGTTCACAAATAACAAAGAAACTTAGGTCATGCTTGTCTATAAATATTCAAACAGTGTTGGCACGTAGAATACACATACATGAATAAGTAGAGGAGTAATAATTAAGGTTGTAAAGGGTAGAGAATGCTAACCAGTTGCGAAGATAAACGAGCAAAAGAGTAAGTAACTTAGAATCTCAGCGATGCCAATAAAGAAAGATAACAATGAGAATCCCAGATCCTAGTGCGTCAGAGTTCACAGGAACTTCAGTGAGTCTCGAGTAGTTCTCGCATTAGGGAAGTTAATAGAGAAGATTCCGGTGGCCTTGGCTTTCAGTCGGCCACAATCAAGAGAGCAAAAATAATATAGAAGGTGAAAAGTGAGACAATAAAGTAGTTCTTAAGAGATTCCAGTCTCTCCAAAAGGAAATTGGTGAGGGGTTTATATAGTAATAAAAATCAACACATAAATAAGGAAATACAGTCAATCAAACATAAGAAAGGAAAGAAGAACATGCAAAAATTAATTTGGAATCAGATTAGGAGAAGAAACCAAGTAAACCCTAGTTTGATTAGGATCAGAAATTGGCTGGAGATCTTGGTGAATCAGACCCTCATAGCCTTGCTATGAACGTATACATATGAAATATCGTTCAAATCTTGGAGAGTAAAGCCGATCTCCTTTGATTCAGAGACTGGTACTTGCCAAAAATGGGCAAGTACTAAGTAACACTATATTTACACAAGTAATAGCGGTATAATCCGGAAAAGGTAAGTAAATCATGGTAAGAATCCATGGATGATTTGGATTCAGAGAAGATTTTGGGTAGCGACTAGGGTTTCTTAGAGAAGAGGAGAGTAGAGGATTTAGGGGCGGCTAGAGTATGAGAATGGGATTAGGGTTTAGGGTGAGGGGATATAAGGAAAGGGTAGGAATTATTATACGTCGTTGATCATTTGAGATCAACGGCAGTGATTAAAGGGAAGTGGGGCGGGTCGAGTAAACGGGTCCCGATCGGGTTGGAACAAATGGGGTCATTTGGTTTAGGCCATGGCAGATTGGGGTTGGGCTCATTTGTTTGGACCTTAATTGGTCCGAAAATAAGGCATAATTTGGGCAAGCTTTTGAAGTAGGAGATTAAGGGGAAATTATTTTACTAAAATAGTTAAATAAAATATAAAAAAAATGCTATTTATGCAACTTAATACTTTAAAATAATAGTTTAATATTATAAAAAATGTTTAAAAAAATTATTTTGTCCTTAAATAAAATGACAAATGTAATTTATTGTAAATTATAGGCTATTATTGCAAAATTACGTATTTGGCATAAAAAGTGCAAATGTAATTATATAAAATGAAATAAAATATTATAAAATGGATATGTGAATGCAAATAATAGAGTTGGATGATTAAATCATCACAAAATAATTTAAAAGGGTAATTAATACATATTCAAGTAATTTAACTACAAGAAAATCAGTTTTAAAGCTTTAAAAATTATGACAAATTATAAAAATACTTGTATAAGTATTGTAAATTGAGTAATGATGCAAAATGATATTTTGAAAGTATATATACTATTTAAAAAAATATGTGAGCAAAATTGGGTATCAACACTACCGATTTTGAGGTATTATATTTGCACTTAGGATGGTTATAATCCGAGCCATATTTAAGGGTGGTTTAAGGTACTTTGCCTTTAAATAAAACAAGACCAGAGAGGTTCTTCCAATTTCAAGTTATTCTAGCCTCTCACTTTCTCCAGCTTTTTCTTGTTCTTTTCCTCATTGTAATATGTGGCAGAGTGAAAAGCTGAATATTTCTAGTGGCATCAAAAGTTTTGCACCTCCTCCTTGCAAAATATAGAACCCCAACTCCCCCTCCCCCGGGCCGGAAAAAAAAAAAAAAAAAACTCAAGTGGTAGCTTTTTACCTCTATAAATTCAAGCTTGCACCTTTCACTTCTAGTTCATGTACTATCCTTCTATCCTTTATCAACCGCATTGCTCTTTCTATCCTTTATCAACCGCATTGCTTTTGTCGCGCTACTTTCATTAGCAACCGTATTGAGTAGAGATTCTAATAAGAATTCTATTTTATGTTGTATTTACAACCGGACATAGCTCTCAATTAAAATTTCCTCACACTTCAAATAAAAAACCAGAAGAATTCCTCTGTTCTTCCCCTGTATTTGCTCTGTTTTCAATTGCAATTTTGTTCCAAAACAATAGCAAAATGTCTCCTCCACAAGAACTAGTAGAAGAAAATGAAGATGTGAGTAACTGGAGCTTCATGCAAATGCTCAACAACTCTTCTTCCTACCAAAAAAATCGATCTGATACAAAGGAGGAAGTCTACATTCACCTTTCGACGAAGCTATCTTCTTCTTCTATTATGAACACAGGAAGCTTGGAGATGTGCACAGAGATATTAGGAAGCGAGACGGGTAGCATTTATATCAGTGAAAGCAATATGGATGAGTTCATTTCTGACATTTCTCGTGGTGTTCAACGATCAAAATGTCGAGAATTCAAGAAAAGAATCAAAAGGACAGTGACTTTTCCACCTCCTCTAACTTCAATCAGTGGAATGGACAGGGTTCAAGTAAGATCTTATCGTGAAGGCGAGCGCTTAGTTTTAAGGGCTGCAAGGATAAGTACTTGCAGCTCTTATTTTCAAGCTGAGCGTGCTAACGGCACGCTCAAACTTTCTTGGTTAAAAGATGGTAATAATAATGAAATGGAAGTTGAACAAGATGCTGAAGTTCAAAATGGTGAAGAAGCTGAAGCCAAATTCATTGACCATGAAAATGGTGATGATTATTGGCCAAAGAACGGTAGAAGAAGATTAGCCAAGAGATGTAAGGAAAGTGGAAGTACAAGCAAAGGGATACTAAACTGGGGGCAATTATGGGTGGTCATTTCCTAAAGAATCTACCTATGAAACACCAATTTACAAGTATCAGTGTAATTTAATTTTTAATCTACTGTTGTAGGTAAGCTGCTTTATTATCTATGTTACTAATTGCGATATATGTAATTATCATTTATGTGACTTGATAGTGAAAAATTATTTTAACCTATCAGTGTATAGGTTAAAATAATATATTTTGGAAATATTATTTTAACATAAAAAGCTAAATGCTTTCTTTTGGAAATTTGGCAGTTGGATCTGTACCTCTCTCTTAACTTATTTAGCTACTATACAACAACAACAATCTCATAAATTGGGTTTGAGAGGAATAATGTCTACACAGCCTTATAACCCTATCTTGTGAGAGTGTCTTTGTCTCATTGACCCTCGACTGTTCCCATTATCTACTATATATTTATCAATTCTGTTGTTCTCCGATTTTTTGTACGTTGGTAGTTATTATGGTTATCACAGTATGATTCAACTCTGCTAATATTCTTTTTTTTTTTTCTAGTTGTTTATTATGCTTTATTCTTCACTGGAATGTATGGAGAACCTTTCACCTTTTCATGGGAGAGGAATTACAACTATTGGTACAACTTGATGTATGACTCATCAGTCATCACCAATCCAATAATTTGCTTGTCTCCTCGCATGCATGAGCAATGAGCCATTCACAATATTATAAGCACTGAGTTTAATTTTTGTACATCACAGTGAAATAAATTTTTATATTATCCGTTTAAAAAATAATTAACAAAGTATAAGTAAATACCGTCTATAAAAGTGAGACTAGTAACAAGAATAATAAGGTCAATTATATTCTATAACAAGTTAAAATATATTGATTGCGTAAATAATTATTATACTATCAGTATAAGTTAAATCTTTGCTAAGACAATAAATAGAAATGAGCAAAATGTGCTCATGGCTCATGCAAGTGGGCTGCAGTACCAGGTGTACGTATGACTAGTAATTGTCATTGCCTAGACCACTTGACGACTAACATCAAAAGATAATGGGAAAATATCACATGGGGCGAAGCCAATATTATGACCAAGATATAAATAAGTAAACAAACTTATAAATCAAGGATTCAACATTTAAGGTAGGACAATAGAGAACAAGTGAAAGTCAAGCTGTGTTGTCATTTGTTCATTACAATGTTTTTTCACAAAAGAATGATATACATACCACACATAAAAATGGCACTTTGATGTAGATAGTGCCCACTTAAAACAACCAAAGACTTAGCATGTATTATCAACAATACTGCTTGNATATATATATATATTGTGCATTATACTGGCAAACAAATTTTCATTAAATTTGATTTTTCATATAACGGAAGTCTAAAGCAAACAAGATATGACTTGAACTAAAAGCGAATAAGGTAATTTGTCTAAAAAATAATAGTACTTGTGAAAACTAAAGTGGCGATAAAGTTAAGGTTATTGTGATAAAAAGAGTTGTGATATAAAGGATAGAGTTTTTGTGGCGACAAAAGTCTACTGAAAGTCGAACATGTCGTCACTAAAAGTCAAATAGGGTCATCCCCATACAAATAGCGACCTAGCAAGCTTTAGTGGCGACCTACTCAACTTTTAGTCGCGAACTTACTTGCCACAAAAGCTTTTATCCTTCAGTCGCATCTCTCTTGGCCACAATAGCCTAAACTTTATTGGCGACTTTAGTCGCATAAGTGTTGACTTTTTATAACAACTATAGTCGCTACTAAAAGTCAAATGGTCGTTAGTAAAATCATTATTCATTGACGACCTACCTAAAATCTATTTCTTTTTTCTGAATTTATTTTGTCGCATAATCTTTTACATTTTGTAGCAACTTTAGTCGATGCTATATGTTGACTGTATCGCCACTAAAAGTCTAATAGTTTGCTAGTAAAGTCATTATTCATTAGGGATCTACCTAAAATATATATTCACATGATGGTCATAATACATAGAAACATCATAATATAATTTGAGTCAATCAATAGTCATATAGTTCATAACTATGTTTTGACAAATGACTCTTTCTCTATCTCTCTTCGATCTACACTCTTTACCATCGAGCCACTACACCCACCGGTGAGAACGCTGGCGCCGGCGACCACAAGAAGGTAGGTAGGCCGTCCCTCTCTCCCCTCCTCTCTCCCCTTCTTTCTTCTCACTGCCTCCCCCAACCCGTTTTACTCCTTTCTTCCCCTATGTTTTTCTTAGCTTTCCCCCCTTCTTCAGCCCCCACCAGCGTTTCTCCGGCCGGCGACCCTCCCACGTCTCCCCTCTTTCTTCTCTTTTCTCTTTCTGTTCCCTTCCCCTCCCCCTCTCCCCCACATTTTCTATCCACCTTACCCTAGAAACCCTAACAGGGCAGCCTCTATCGATGACAGCTCTAGCCGGCGACCCCTAGTTGTACCTATATTCTTTCTTCTGTCTGAGTCACCCCCACTCCCTTTTCCCCTTCCTTGTGTTCGACCCTTCGTCTCTTCGATAATCCATGCTACATTCGTAGGCTATTTGCCCGTCGTTTAGTGGGCATTCCGGGCTATCGTAAAATTAAACACTGATGCAGCGGATACAGGTTGACAGCCCCTCCCCTGTTGGTTTCTTGCTTGGTATGTTGTGAATTTTCAAGTTATTAGCCGGGGAAGTTGGCGACGAGCGTGAGGCGTACGAGCGAGCATCGCGGAGCAACCCTAGTTGGTATTTGCAAAGGCCGGTTGGAGTTGGAAGGAAGTACATCAGTATCCGCAACCTCGGATGTGCACCAAGTCGAATTTCCAGGTTCTACTCTCGGGAGTTGGTACCTCCCGCTCTCCTCTTTCTCTTCTTTGTATTTTTTAACTTGTTGCCATTTTAGTTCACATTAGTTTAGTCATATTATTAGCGTGCTTGTAGTTATAACTTGTTTTCTTCTAGTTGGCCCGTCACCTATTTTGTGTTAGTGATTTTCCTTAGTCTGTCGTAGGTATAGTGGTTGTGATCTGGGATGGTAGAGTAAGGTCTTATTCTCGGGGAGGGTGGGGGGTGGGGCAGGGGTCAGACGGGAGGCAAGGGAGGTAAGGGGATCAAGGGAGTTTATAGGTTGAGAATTGGATCATGGAACATAGGAACATTGATGGGTAAGTCTATAGAGTTGGCGAATATTCTCCAGAAGAGGAAGGTCAATATAGAGTGTGTCCAGGAGACTAGGTGGGTAGAAATGAAGACGAGGGACGCGGACGGGTATAGATTATGGTACTCTGGAGTCAGGAAAGGTAAGAATAGAGTGGGAATTTTGGTGGATAGGGATCTTAGAGAGTCTGTGGTGGAGGTTAGGCTGGTGAGTGATAGATTAATGACTATTAAGTTAGTGGTTGGAGAGTGCACCATAAATATCATTAGTGCTTACGCGCCGCAATCGGGCTTGGATGAAGAGGTTAAAAGACGATTTTGGGAGGAGTTGGATGAGATTGTACGTGGTATTCCACCTGCTGAGAGGCTATTTATAGGAAGGGATTTCAATGGTCATATTGGGTCGACTGCTGATGGCTATGGAGAGGTGCATGGCGGATTTGGCTATGGGGATAAGAACGGAGGAGGTACTTCGCAGTTGGATTTCGCTAAGGCTTTTGAGCTGGTGATTGCGAACTCTAGTTTTTCAAAGAGGGAGGAGCATTTGGTTACTTTCCAAAGTGCGATGGCGAAGACTCAGATTGACTATCTCCTCCTCAGGAGGTGTGATAGAGGGTTGTGCAAGGATTGCAAGGTTATTCCGGGTGAGACCCTCACGACGCAGCATAGGCTCTTGGTGATGGACGTCGGTATCAAGATAAAGAGGAAGAAGAAGTTTGTACGAGGACGACCGAGGATCAGGTGGGGAGCCTTGACTAAGGATAAAGACTAGGAGTTGGAGGGGAGGTTATCAGATATGGGAGTCTGGAGGAGTAGTGGGGACGAGAGCGCTATGTGGACAACGATGGAGAATTGTATTAGGGAGGCAGCAAGAGAGGTGCTAGGGGTCTCGAAGGGTTATTCTGGCGGGCACAAAGGTAATGGTGGTGGAATGAAGTGGTCCAAGGTAAAGTGGAAGCGAAGAAGGCGGCGGACTTGAAGTTAGTATGGAGCACAGGCGAGGAGGAGAGGAGAGCGAACATAGAAGGGTATAAGGTAGCTAGGAAGGAGGCAAAGTTTGCGATCATGGAGGCTAAGACTGAGGCGTTTGGTCATCTGTACGAGGAACTGGGGATAAAGGCGGGGAGAAGAAGTTAGTTCGACTAGCCAAGGCTAGAGAGAGATGAAGTCTCAGGATCTGGACCAAGTGAGGTGCATCAAAGACGAGGACGGTATAGTATTGATGGGAGATGCTCAGATTAAGTGAAGATGACAGACTTATTTTCATAAACTTCTAAACGAAGAGGGGGATCAGGACATTGTGCTAGGTGAATTTGGGCATTCCGAGAGTCAACGAGACTTTAGGTACTATAGGCGCATTAAGGTTGAGGAGGTCATGGGAGTTATGCGTAAGATGACTAGGGGTAGAGCAACCTAGCAAGACAAAATTTTGGTAAAATTTTGGAGGTGTGTCGGTAGAGTAGGCTTGGAGTGGCTGACTGGGCTGTTTAATATTATTTTCAGGATGAAGAGGATGCTGGATGAGTAGAGGTGGAGCACGGTGGTACCGTTGTACAAGAACAAATGTGATACCCAGAGTTGTAACAACTCTATGGGTATCAAGTTACTAACTCATACCATAAAAGTTTGGGAGAGGGTGGTAGAAGTGAGGGTGAGGAGGACGATGTCTATATTCGACAACCAGTTCGGGTTCATGTCGGGTCGACCGGCTACGGAATCTATCCACCTTATTAGGAGGTAGATGGAACAGTACATGGATAGGAAGAAGGACCTGCACATGGTGTTTATTAACCTGGAGAAAGTGTATGACAAAGTCCCTAGAGAGGTCCTTTGGAAATGCATGTAGGCTAAAGGTGTGCCGGTTGCCTACATAAGGGCGATTAAGGACATGTGTGATGGAGCTAAGACTCAGGTTAGGACAGTGGGGGCGACTCGGAGCCTTTCCCGATTGTTATGGGGTTACACCAAGGATCTGCGCTCAGCCCGTTCTTATTTGCCTTGGTGATGGACACACTGACACGCGATATTCAAGGAGAGGTGCCTTAGTGTATATTATTCGCTTATGACATTGTGCTGATAGATAAGACACGAGGCGACGGTAACGAGAGGCTGGAGGTTTGGAGACAGGCCCTTGAGTTTAAGGGTTTCAAGTTTAAGGATAAAGAATTTTTGTTGTAACAGAAGTCTCAATTTAAAGCTGAATAAGTCGTCACAATAAGTCGATTAGGGTCGCCACCATAAATAGTGACCTAGTCGGCTTTCGTGGCGGCCTACTCAACTTTTATGGCGATCTTAGTCGCCAGAAAACCCTTTATCTTTTTAGTGGGCCACAATAGCTTTAACTTTATGGCGACTTTAGTCTATTAACTTTTTATAGCAACTATAGTTGCCACTAAAAGTCAAATAGTTGCCAGTAAAGTCATTATCAATGACGGCCTACCTAAGATGTGTTATTTTTTTCCCGAATATTTTGGTCGCATAAGTTTTTACATTTTGTAGTAACTTTAATCTCCGCTAAATATTGACTATATTGGCACTAAAAGTCGAATATGTTGCCAATAAAGTCATTATTTGTTGGCGATCTACCTAAATATATTTTTAGGTGATGAACATAATACATAAAAACATCATAAATATCATTTGAGCAATCAATTCACGTAGTTCATATATAACTATGTTCTGACAATCTCTATCCACAAGCTTAAGCACACAAAATATCATTTAGCGAAATTATTTATGCACTTTAAAACATTCAAAATGTGTGATCGAATGCATATGTCCAAAACGTTCTAATTGTACTTAATCTATACAATAGATAGCATAACTATGTCATGAACTTCTTAACTTGATCAATTCGGCGATTATGATTTTGACTTTGGTCTTAGACCTACCCACATCGAAGCTTTCGAATTTCGGCGAAATATAGACATCTAGTATATATATATATATATATATATATATATATATACTAGATGTCATTAATACGGTATATATCCACCCATGGTTAGGTCAAAATATTACCTAATTAGTTGATCGTGTGATTGAGACTAATTAGGACGCAACATTCATTGAGCTCAATTAAATTTATTATTTTCGAAGCGAAGGATGGATATATATATATATATATATATATAAATTCCTAAAATATCAATAAATACTAACATTTGAACCAATAATTTCAAAAGAATATCTAGACATTTGATATGACGTAAACTATGTTTTGAATGAAGAATATAAAGAAGCCATCGTCAAACACATTACAAACAAAAGATTTCAATTTCAAAAGGGAGTATTGGCGCAATGGTAATAAAGTAGTCACGGCGTGATGAGGAGGTCACATAGTTTAAAATGTGAAAATAATTTCTCGCAAAAATACGAGGTAAAGCTGCATACATAAGATTCATATGAACTGGTCCTTTGCCAGATCTCTTGTATAGCAGGAGTTTAATGCACTACACTGCCTTTTTGTATTTCAATTAAAATGATCTAGAGCTACCTATTATTATTTGTTTGGTTCTAATTAGTCTCAATCACATGATCAGCTAAAAGAAGCTGTCCATGGAACAAACACCCTAACAACAGACAGGGAAACATATATGGAAAACAAAAAATAAACGGATAAGTTCCATATGTGACTCACATTCCAATCTTTAATTATGTGCTAGGAAAAAAAAAATTACAAAGAAGAAATCTAAAAAAAGAAAAATTCATATTTCCCGTGGCTAGAATGGTTCATTAAAAAAAAAAGGAATAGGGAAAGTTCGAATAATTTTTAGTGTCATACATCAATTTCTCAAAAGTTGAATGAATCCATTCAATCTATATTATGATATTCTCTATACTTGGCCATCGCGTCAAAAGACAACGTTTCAGTGTCATTGTCACAATTTGGATAAGGCCTACTGCTGATTTAAATTGCAGGGCGTCTTGTTGAGCCGAGATATTATCGCAAATAGCATATCTACTTTTATAAGGTAAGAATAAGATCTGCATACATATTATTTTTTCGAGATCACACTTGTAAAATTACATTAAGTGCACCCACATACCCATGCATGTATGACGAATCTGGTATTTATACTAGAGCATGTTAATTTATTATGGTTAAGTAATTTAATGAGATGAGAAAGTCGTATATAATTCACTATAGTTAAGTGTTTGAAGTGCATATGCAAAACACACGTCATGCATGATGCATCTATTAATTTTGTATAAATATCCAATACGAATAACTTTTTGCCCGAGATGCCATGTTATTTATGCTTATACTCTCTTAGCATCTTAATATTTTTAACTTTTATTTCGATATATTTTGTAGTGGTGTCATGGCATCATTTAGAGTACTCTATCGATATCTGTTACCTCGCACTAGTGACAAAGCACAGAAATATAACAACGAAATTCAAAAAAATGTAAAACTAGCACACCTAAGATTCAAACCAGTAACCTTAAGCAATTTTTGCTAACTTGTCACTCAACTAGAAGTTCCCCTTATGTTATAAGGAAATTGTCTTATTTGTACGATATAAGTTTTTGATGAAGGTTCAATTGAACCCCTTTTAATTTGTTGGATGTAGCTCCGCTCCCGAGTACAAGTAAGCAATATCGTCATTTCCAATTAATACTTTGGATATGCCCCTCCTCTTCATTCCATATTATATTGGAAAACTATCCTCTATAGCCCCTCAAAATTTTAATAACCCATATTTTTTTTACTTACACGAAATGGCCTTTCGGTCCAAACATATTACATCTAATAGCCCGAAATATCTATTTTGTATATTTTTTGTATAGTGGCAGTCTATTTTATATATTTTTTGTATAGTGACAGTTTATTTTGTATAATGACAGTCTTTTTAGTATATATTTAGTATAGTGACAGTCAATTTTATATATATTTTGTATAATGACAGTCTAGCGTATATAAATTGTATAGTGACAGTCTATTTAGTATATTTTTGTATAGTGACAGTCTATTTTGTATATATTTTGTATAGTGACAGTCTATTGTATATAAATTGTATAGTGACAGTCTATTTTAATATTTTTTTTTGTATAGTGACAGTCTATTTAGTATATACATTGCATAAAATTTGTATATAGAGTGTATCGTGCATCTTGCAATGTATCCATAATATATTATTAATGTATCCCGAGCGCTTTTGTGTATCCAAAGTGTATAGACCGTTCTACAATATATAGATTTTTTATATATAAAGTGTATCGTGCATTTTACTACGTAGTGTTGTAGTAAAATGTATATATGAAAGATTTTCTAGAATATAATATTGTGTTAAAAATTACAATAATGATAGTTATTGACAATTTATATTTATTATATAGCATTTATTTGAATGTACATTTATGTTCTTTGTACGTAAAGGGGTATTTGATTTAAAGAGTGAAGAACATATTATTGTGTATTAAATAAATAAATAAATAAATAAACCATGAAATGAAAATCATAACAATAAGGATATATTACTTTGAAGATGATCGACTGCTTTCATCATAGACAATTAAGAGTCAACAACAACAAGGATATATTTTTTTTGGGTTTTATTATACACTACTCTATTTTTTATAATTGAAAGATTTTTTGATTTGGTTAGAAAATTAAAATAGTTCTGTATTTCACGTTGTTTGGGGATTAAAGATATATTTTTCATTTCTAAAAATGAGATTCTTAGAAGAAAAAAAAAACATTTGAAATATCTGGCGTCGAGTTTGGGATGCGGCTGATGGGGCTTTTTGTTTCATCAACTGGCTATTGTAATTAATTAATTTCTGGCTAGTGGCTGTGAAAAGTTTGGTCCGAGCGGCCAACAATGATAAAAGCTCTATTATATTCTAGTCTGTTGCCCACATACTCCCCGGCCCACTTTAATTGAACTTTTGGCTTTTTTTGTGGTCCACAATATTTAATTTTTTCAGATATCAAAAAATAATTAACTTTTTTTTCAAAAGTTGCCCTTGGAGTAAAGAGTCTAGAAGTATTTGTTATATTTCCAATAAACAAATTAAGGTTAATATGGTCAATTTTATTATTAATTAATGCTAAAAGCGAATTTCAATGTTCCAAAGGGGGGAATAATGTTACACCCCATATTTTCGTACGTGAGAGTACGTCGTAAGTCAATTGATGTAAGCTCATAAATGAGATTATATTAGGAAGCATATAAAGTAAGTTAATCGTATTACCTTGGAGGTTACAAATATTTAAGATCATGATTAACATGTAACAACCTGACCGGTCGTTTTGAGCTCTAGCATGCTGTTCGGCGGTTTGAGGCCTTGTGTAGTTTCACTTCATATATTATGACTTGTACGCGTAGTCGGAATTGAATTTCGGGAAGGTTAAGAGTTGATTCGGATGGAAAATTCTCATTTCGGAAGCTTTAAGTTGGAAGAGTTGACTAAGGTTTGACTTTTGAGTAAAAGATCTCGGAATCGGGATTTGAAGGTTCCAATAGCTTCGTATGATGATTCTGGACTTGGCCGTATGTTCGGATTGAATATCGGGTGGTTTAGGAGCATTTCAACGCTTATTATGGAAAGTTGGCATTTTGAAAGTTTAAGAATTTCTAAAGTTTGATTTGAAGTGAATTTTGGTAGTATCGATGTCCGTTTGGGGTTCCTAGCCTTGGAATAGGTTCGTATCATGATTTGTGACTTATACATAAGGTTTGGTGTCATTCCGGAATATTTTGATATGATTCGGATGCGTTCGCCGAAGTTTGAATGTTTGAAAGTTTAAAGAAAAACTTTGATCGTCGATTCATGATTTTGATATTATTTGTGACATTTTCTAGCCTTTGGATAAGTTTGTATAAGGTATTGGGATTTGTTGGTGTGATTGAATGGGGTCTCGGGGGCCTCGGATGTGATTCGAGGTGGTTTCAGACCAAGTTTGGATGTTTTGATGCTGCTGGTGTGCTTCGCAATCGCGAAGGTAGTCCCGCGATCGCGAAGGAGGCTGATGAAGGGCCCCTGTTTTTCTCTTCGCGAACGCGAGGAGGCATACACAAACGCGGAGAAGGACCTGGTCCTACTTCGCGAACGCGAAGGAGGCTGGGAGTGGGATGGCTGTGAGGCAGAAGGCCTTCGCGAACGCGGGGGTGGAGCGCAAACGCGAAAGGTAGGGTCAGATGGGCATCGCGAACGCAATCAGGCAGTCGCGAAAGCGTAAAGTAGCTGGGCAGCTGGGAGGAGTTGGACTTCACGATCGCGATGCTATTTTCGCGATCGCGAAGAAGAGTGGGCAAGGGCAGATTTGATTTAATATGGGATTTGGCTCTTTTTCTCTCATTTTTCACTTGGTTGGGCAACGTTTGGAGCTTTTGAGGAGGATATTTCACCATCTATTTTGAGGTAAGTTACTACCACTTGTTGTAAGATAAATACATGAGTTATATATGGATTTAAACATGAAATGTTGTAGAAATTGTGGGATTTAGGAGAAAACCTAGAATTTGATATTTTTGGACTTTTACCACGAAATTGGACGTGGAATTAAGAATAAATTATATATTTGAGTTCGTAGTGTTATGGGTAAAGTTTATTTTCAAATATTTTCGAAATTCGGGCACGTGGGCCCGAGGATTGACTTTATTGGTTTTTCGAGCGGAGTTGAGAATAAATTGTTAAATTGTAAGTATTGGAGTATACTTTGATTGATTTGCACGTTGTTTGACTAGTTTCAGAGCGTTTGGCTTTGAGTTGAGGTGTTAGAGAGGCGTTGCAGCCGGTTATGGAACTTCGGAGCGAGGTAAGTCTCTTGTCTGACCTTGTGAGGGGGAAACTACCCCCTATGTGATGCAATTGTTATGTGCTAATAGTTGTGGGTACTACGTCCGTACGTAGCTAAAGCATGTTTATGTCCGGGTAGACTTAGGACTTTATCATGTAATATTT